CCCCCCCCCAAGTATCATAGTACTAAAGGAGGTGTCCTATTCCTCAATAAGAAAAGGCCCAATAGACAAACTGGCAAAGAACATAACAGGCAATTCATAGATAAGGAAATGTGAGCAGCCAACAAATTTCACCATTAGGCTGGCAAAAATTTAGAATACTGGCAATATCAAGGGTGTGGACAAGTGGGACTCCCACACACTGCTGGGAGGAACGTAGGAAAGGACTTAGCCTTCTGGGGTAAACTGGAGTAAAATGGGAGTGTGAATTGGTACAGCTGCACCCTAAGATAATTTGGCAGTTTCTATTGATATGCATGTGTCGTAGGTGTGCCTTAGCAATTTCTCATTTGTTATCTGCCCTATGAAAACACATGTGCAAATGTATACCTTTTTCCAAATGTTTATTGCAGTCTCTATATTATGTGAATGAAATGGACATATATATGGGGAATGGCTAAATTGTGGCATGTTTATTCCATGGAATTCTAAGAATATTAATGGTATTAGATAGACCTGTATGAATTGACATGAAAACTCCAAGCCATATTAATGCATGAAGAGGAGAAATTTCAAAACAAGACATAAAATATAAAATCTTTCTCAATAAAATAGTCTCTGTTAAAATGGGGGAAAAAAACTTTTTGTAAAATAAATAAATAATAAATAAAACAGTTTGCTTTGGTGGGGGCCTCAGAAGTATGTAAGTAAATACATAGAAAGGTATCTGGTGGGACAGCCACCAAACTCATTGTGTCACTTACCTTTGTGATCAGAGGAAAGCGACTGGGACTGGGGGTAGGAGTCAAAAAGCCTTGTAATATTTTTATTTTCTACCAAGAGTGTTTCTGTATTACTCATCTGATTAAAAATTAATATTTTAAAAACGGAAGTAGGCAGTTTGGTGTGGCAGAAAAACACCCATTAGGCTTACACCATAAACCTCATTTTGCCAGTTACTGCTTTTGTGTTCTTGGAGGAAAGCCACAATAACCCCAACCTCACTATCATCATAAGACAAAGGAATAATACTTGCCTCAGAAATTGTTCAAAGTTTCACAGGAGATGAAGTATCAAATGCCACGTACATTACTAAAGTATTAGTACAAGTAACCCAGTACATCAGAACTTAGAAATAAGAAAATAAACTGTTCCTTCCAGCTGCAAAAGTATCCTGGAAGGAAGGAATCATTGGAATCAGATTAATTTCATTTCTGTGGAATTACCCAGGGCAGGAACAACATAGGAACTGGCGCCAGCTTGGTTCCTTCTTCAGCTGGTGACCTTAAATAAAACCCTTCCCCAATCCAGACCTCAGTTTCACCACCTACAGAGGGAGGGATTTCATTAAGCATCTTTTTAGAGCATATCTAGTTCTGATCCTTAGTGATTCTGAGCAGTCACCTCTTCTAAGTTGCTCATGTTGGAAAAGGCAGACATGAAAACCAGGTGCTTCCTCCTTCAAGCGAGTAGAAGCAGCCCACTCAATTAGTGTCCTGCTAGTAGCAGGGACATGTAGACATAACCCCCAGGCAACTTTCAGTATCACAAAACCCTCCAAACCTCAAGTTCCCAGGACAATATAAAAACCAGTAAAAAAACATTGCTAAAGAACCAGGACTGTCATTTTCTTACATCCAAAAAAAGAAAAATAAGGTGCTCACAACAAATCCAAAATGAGATTGTGGAAGTGACAGAGATTACTTTTATTCCATAATGATTATTTCTTGAGTGTCTGTTATGTACCAATCATAGAATGAGGTGCTGGAATTCAACAAGAAACAGCAGACCTGGCCTGCTTTTACGGAGCCTACAGAGTACCTGGAGAGTGAGGCAGTTAAGTGAGCAATTACTATAGGATTACAAATTCTCTGATGCAGGATTTCCAGGGAGGATGAGAGCTATAATAGAAACACCTAAAGCAGTCCAGAGGCCATGATGTGGTCAAGAAAAGCCTGACTTAAGCAAAGACCTGAGGATGCATGGAGTTGCAGCACAAAGACATGCAGAAAGGACAGCATGATACAGGTTTGAGAGGGAGAGGGAACAGCTGTTTTCCTTGGAACGTAGGGTTTTTCTCACGCAGTGTGTTTGAAAGACTCAAGCACAAATAAATATGGGCTTATAAAACTGCAAGGGCTATTAGATATTGTCTAGTCCTAGAATCATAGACTGCTAAAACTGGTCTCATCCAGGTCCCTCATTTCATGCATAGAAGAGCCAGAGCCATTTAGACGCATTCCCAGTGTCGATGGTTAGTGTCTGAGATCCAGCTGCAGCTCAGGCCAGAGCACTTTGCTCTATACCCCCAGGACACATAGGTCTTCACTGGTCAAAACCAACTGTGTGCAATAGCACCGTCCAAAACCTAAAAACAATGTGCAGAAAAGAAACCTCACCATGAAGCCTCATCCCCAGCAAAACAAAACAAAGCGAAAAGCAGACACTCCTAAAAATAAAGAGAATAAGAAGAATGATAATAACAGGCAGAGGGATGAGGACAGGGTAGTCAGTGGTTACAAAATATTAGAGAGAGAGGAAGAATGGGATCTGTGTTCTATACTCACATAGGGAGACTAGTTAACAATGAAGTACTTTGGTGTACAACGAAGTGCATCTTTGAATAGCTGGCCAAAGTGATGTTGAATGTTCCTAACACAAACTGACAAATGTTTGAGGTGGGGGACATACTAATCACCCTGATATGATCATTGCACACAGAATGAATGTATGTATATATTATATTATACTCCATAAATATATACAATTATCCTGGGGTCAATTAAGAAAAATAAATTTAAAGGAGGGAAGAAAGAGAGAGAGAGAAATAGAAAGTAGAATAATGGTTACCAGAGGCAGGGAAAGGGAGGGGGCAGGTGGACTGGGGAAAGATTGGTAGACTGGTACAAAGTTACAGGTAGACAAGAAAAGTTCTGGTGCTGGAGGCTGACAATAGCTAATAATATTGTATTGTATATTTCAAGATAGCCAGAAAAGAGGATCTTGAATGTTATATTGACAAAGAAGTCATAAATGTTTAGGTAATAGATATGCTAACTATTCTGATTACATCATTATACAATATATACATATACTGAAAGAACAAACTATACCCCATAAACAGTACAAAGAAAAAAAAGAATTATAATAATGGCTCTTACCAGGATAAATTCTCTTGACTCTGACTGTACCAATGACAACTGCAGAAGAATTTTTTCCCCCATTTTATCGGATCCCTTCTGTGTCTCTTCTTGCCATTTCTGATATAAGCACAAATTACCCCACTGTAAAATCCCCAGACAGCTCTGGATAAACCTCTGTGTAACAAGGCAGGAGAGACACTCCAAAGAAGAAAGCCTCGGCGCGGGGCGGGGGGTGCCGTGAGGCAGGAATGAAGCAGGCTTCTGCTTGACTGAGGCCCCAGTTAGTGCATAGAAGTCCATCACACAGTAACAAGCCCTCCAGGGACACCTGCATGGAAGGCTTCAGGACACTTACTCAGATAAAGCTGCACCAGCTCAATCGCCAGCCAGAGAATGAAAGGCCCTTTGGACATTTTGACTGTTGACAGGTCTCAGGAGTTTGTCTGTCTGTCCAAAGTCCATTTTTTATACCCCAGTTAATGCTGACAGGGTGGGACCTTGTAGTTTCATTTCTCTTTTTGCACATAACCTTCCTTTCCCCTGCCCTGAATGGCCTCCCTCAATTTGGGATGTATGATGAAATGTGCTGAGCACTTTCTTTCCTGGCGATTAGCGTTTGGGTACAAATGTGGGGAGGGACGGTGTAAAGTAAGGTAAGTCGTAACTAAAGCCAAAATGTTTCATTATTTAGTTATTATTTTAGTTATACTAAGTTTCCATTTATATTGTCAGAGCTAGGGCTCAGACCCTTCAAACCCATTGTACAGACTGGGTCCCCAGACCCCTCACATGCAGGTCCATGCTAGGTAATTGGGAAAGATCCCAGGAGCTGTTGGCAGATGACAGGAGCTAAGTCCTCAGCAGCAGCAGCTTACAGGTCCAGTAGCTTATAGGCCCAGCAGTGGCCTTGCAGAGGGTCCCGGGGAACACTAGCAGTAGCAGCTGCAGCCGCCGCCGCCTCCAGCAGCAGTAGTGGCCTCCCCATGTCCCCCACCCCCGACAGGGGGGCATTCCGGGGATGGGAGGCTCCGTGGATCAGAACCACTCATCCCTTATACTTAGGTCCATAACCCAGGACACCTGGGTGCACGTGCGCAATCACACTAGAAGATAACCAAGGAACACCTGGGCGCATGTGCCTATTTACATCAAATGCTCAGCAAGATTCTGAACATCTGAGGGGCACTGACCATTTTCCTATATTTTCCCAACAGACGGCATGGGCATACATGGGCCTCTTTGTCCGCAGAGAGATTTCCCTTATGTGCACCAGCATCCATGCATGCGCTCCAGCATGTGCACATATGTAACCTGTGCATGGGCCACAGACAGCCAGACTGCTGTGAAGCCTGTCATAAAAGGCAATGAACTCTCTGCACTTACATGTGGACTCCTCCTGGGGTTGCTGGAAAGTTAGACTGGCATTTGGCTCCACTCCCATTCGGGGTTCTCCCTCACCCTGATCCCTGGCCCCCTTGTCCTTCACTTGTTAGTGAAGCCATGTGATGGGAAGAGCTAAAAAAAGATAATTCATGAACCAGATTACACAGCCTGAACTAGATGATGTGTATGGCCCTTTTAGATTCTATGGATTCAATGGTACATCCACCATCACAGAATAAGTTAGAGGAGGAATCAAACCAATGCTCACCAACCAGATGTGTTTTCTAGAACAGGATTATATCACCACAATTATTTCTCAAATGCTTAATTATATGTCAGGCATTCTGCTAAGTGACAGATGTATTATTTAATTCTCACAACTCTGGAAAATAGGCATTATTTTTCATATTTAACAGATAAGAAAAATGAGGCTTAAGAGAGTTAAAAAAAAAATTAGTACCCACAGCTAAAAAGTTGTAGAAGCAGGACTCAAGCCCAGAACTTCCCAGTTCCAAAGGTCATGCTTAATCATTAGATCTTCCTTCAACCTGTGGCCTTTAGGGTAATGCATCCAAAAGAACAAGCCAACCTGTGGCTAGTTCCTATCTAGCACCAGAGAGGAAATTTGAGGAGGCACAAATGTTCTAGACTTTTTTTAAGTCTTCATTTGATTGTAACCAGCCATATGAGCCTCAGAAATTCAACATTGCTCACATTGAAGATATCAGTGAAAATACAAATATTGGTTAAGGCTCTGGACTCAGAGAAAATCTTCCCACTGAATGCCCATAGAGCTCTGGGATCCTTTCCCCCTCCCTATCCCCAGGTAACTGGGTAATTTAATCTCTGATAAACTGAATGGTCCCAACAAAACATTTACAGACATTGATATTTGGGTGTCCCCCAACAATACCATCCAATCCCTCTTTTAAAAAGTCTTCAGTGCGTGAGCCTCAGCCGTGCATGCAGAACTTCTAATTAATTTTCAGTGTGTCACTTTTAGATATAAATCAACAACTAAGGATCACCAGACATTTGAGGAAAGTCTTTAATATGAAAAAGAGACAAAGACAACAGAAAGAGTAAAAGAAAGCTTTTTAAAAAAAATTGGGGGGGGCTGGTCCGGTGACGCACTTGGTAGAGTGCGGCGCTTGGGAGCGCAGCAGTGCTCCCGCCGAGGGTTCGGATCCCATATACAGACTGGTCCGCTCACTGGTTGAGCGCGGTGCGGGCGCGACACCGAGGGTTGCAATCCCGTTACCGGTCACAAAAAAAGACAAAAAGGAAAAAAAAAAATTTTTTTTCAGCTGATGTGTTCCCAGAAAGAAAAATTTTACAACCATGAGAAAGAACAGAAGTCATAAAAGGGAAAAATCAGAGAACAAGAAAGAGCTCTTAGAAATTAAAAATATTATACATACCCCAAAACTTTATGGATGATTCAAAAAATAATTAAGAAAAATTTCTAGAAAGTATAATTATCTACAAAGTCAAATAACTAGTATTGTTCCAGAACACGATAAAAGGAAATAGTAGGGAGAAAGTTATTAAAGAAATAAGAATTGGAAAAAAAAGATTCCCATAACTAAAAGACATGTCTTGAGATTGGGAGGGCCAACCAAATGCTAAACTCTGTGAATGAAAAGATCCCAATGAAAATAGCACATTATCATGTAACATGAGACCATCAGACATAGAGAAAATATATTCAAAGACTCCAGAGAGAAAACAAAACAAAAACATATTGTATTAAAAGGATTTGGAATTAGAAAGACATTTCTCTTCTTATCAGCAAAGCTAGAAAATAATGCAGGAAGGCTTTCAAAATTCAGAGGAGAAAATGATTTTCAACCCAGAATCCTTTTCCCCACCAATTTATTACTCAAATGTTAGAGTATAATAACGACCTTTACAGACATAGATAGATTCAAAATTTACTCCCCATATCTCCTTTCTTAGGAACCTATGAAAGAGAAATCTGTGGCAAAATGGGAGAATTAGCCAGAAAGCATGAAGTTCATAGGATCCAGAAAATAAGACACCCAACTCAGGGAAATGAAAATTCCAGAAAGAGAACTACAGAGCAGACCTAGAAAGCAACTGTTTCAGTTATCTATCACTGCATCACAAATCACCCCAAAACTTAGTACCTGAACAATTCACTTTTCTTTTTTTTTTTTTTTCGTGACCGGCAACGGATCGCAACCCTCAGTGTCGCGCCCATACCGGACCAGGACCGGCAATGGGATCGCAACCCTCCATGTCGCGCCCGCACCTCGCTCAGCCAGTGAGCGGCAGGTCTGTATGTGGGATCCAAACCCTTGGTGGGAGCGCCGCCGCGCTCCCAAGCGGTGCACTATAGCAGTGCGCCACCGGGCCGGCCCTGAACAATTTACTTTTCATGATTTCTGGGTTGACTGTGCTCAGCTGGGAAGTTCCCATTCAGTTGCAGTGGCTGGAGTTGGAGCCATCTCAAGACTAGACTGGACTGTTTGTCCACAATAACTTTCTCATTTACATGACTGATCATTCAGAATGTTTTTTTATTTATATGTCTAACAAATTGGCAGAATGACCAGAAGAGCTAGGGGATCAACCGGCAACTCTCCACATTGGCCTCTCCACATAGCATCTTGGGCTTCCTTACAGTATGGCAGTCTGAGAGTAGATACATTTTTTTACAAAGTATCTGGCTTTCTCAAAAATGAGTATTTCATTTGACATGATAATTTCTGTTCTTTTGGGTATATACCCAGCAGTGGTATTGCTGGGTCATATGGCAGTTCCATCTGCATTTGTTTGAGGTATCTCCATACCATTTTCCATAATGGCTGCATCATTTTACAGTCCCACCAACAGTGTAGGAGGGTTTCCCTTTCTCTGCATCCTCTCCAGCATTTGTTATTCTCAGTCTTTTTTATATTAGCCAGCCTAACTGGAGTGAGATGATATCTCAATGTGGTTTTTATTTGCATTTCCTGGATGCTGAATAATGTTGAGCATTTTTTCATGTGTCTGTTGACCATTCTCATATCTTCCTTTGAGAAATGCCTATTCAGCTCCTTTGACCATTTTTTTAATTGGTTTACTTGTTTTTTTGCTGTTAGGTTGTTTGAGTTCCTTGTATATTCTGGATATTAATCCTTTGTTGGATGCATATTTTGCAAATATTTTCTCCTATTCTGTTGGTTGTCTTTTTGCTCTGTTAATTGTTTCTCTTGCTGTGCAGAAGCTTTTTAGTTTGATATAATCCTATTTGTTTATTTTTCCTTTTGTTGCCTGTGCTTTTGGGGTCATATTCATAAAGTCTATGCCCAATCCTACTTCCTGAAGTGTTTCTCCTATGTTTTCTTTTAGGAGTTTTATAGTCTCAGGATGTATATTTGATTCTTTAATCCATTTTGAGTTGTTTGGCATATGATGAGAGGTACAGGTCTAGTTTCAGTCTTCTACATATGGATGTCCAATTTTCCCAGCATGATTTATCAAAGAGGCAGTCTTTTCCCCAATGTGTGTTCTTGATGCTTTTGTTGAAGACCAGATGGCTGTAGGTATATGGGCTGACTTCTTGGTTCTCTGTTCTGTTCCATTGGTCCATGTGTTTCTTTTTATGCCAGTACCATGCTGTTTTATTTACTATGGCTTTGTAGTATAGTTTGAAGTCAGGTAGTGTTATGCCTTTGGCTTTTTTTTTTTTTTTTTTGGCCCAATATTTTTTTGGCTATTTGAGGCCTTTTATTGTTCCATATGAATGTTAGGATTTTTTTTTCTATTTCAGTGAAGAATGTCATTGGTATTTTCA